TCCTGCTGAGAGTCAAAAACTGTGTGTCCTGGAGGAGGCCAGGAATTAGTATCTACCCACAGCATTTGTACCATCACTAGTTGTCCCCCAGATCACAAGGCATTACAATCATGAGAACACTGTAGGAATCTCCAGACTCAGGAATATAAATTGCTTGCTTTCTTGCTTTTGAAGCAACAGGTGCCTTCAGCTAATGATTTCAAGCTTTTCACATTGTCCATGTGAATGACAAGTGAAAGATGAAAATGCAGATCCAACTAAATCTGGTATCTCTGCAGTGTCACCCTAAGGTTGAGGCATTTGGAAGAGGTGTTTTGTTAACCAGTATGGGTTTTGTACATCTTTTAAACTCGGGCACTGTGGCTCTCTGAAGGTATCAGGTTCTTGATCTTCACAATAAAATCATGGAAGCAGGGAAAACCGAGATCCCTTTCTATCCCTCTCAGCTGATATCTCTCTTCCCTCTTTCCTTGTCAGCCAACTCTTCGCAGGATGTGTTACCTGACTATCAAAGAGATGTCTTCTATTGCAGAAGATGTAATAATTGTTACTAGCAGGTCAGTCGCTTCACTTTTCTTACTGTTACATTCACACATCCTACTGTGATGCCAGTCCAACAGTTTGGAGATAGCTGTAGTCCCTGAGCAGGGTGAGGATAGGGAATGCCCTTGGTGTGGAAAAAATTTCCTTTAAAAGAGGCCATTAAAATACAGACAGTGAACTCCTGGTGACGTGTGTGCAATGTGCTGTGTCCCCATATGCCACGGCCACGGGTGTTTGGATTGTCTCTTTTGTTACATGATACGGCAGCGCTGCTGTTTTTTCCCTTTTGCAAAAGGCTGTTTCATTAACTCCTACTTTCCTGTCTGAATGCATTGAAGCTTTTTGAAGATTTCTGGCATAAATCCCAAGGCTTTCAACAGGTAGACAAGGATTTACTGCTCCTGTAGCAGCACAGGATGCGACTTCACTGGGGAATAAAATTCCCTCTCTGAGTCATTCCTGAATTGCCGATAATCCCACTGAAAGGCCAGTGTGGTTTGGGGAGGCAGGAGCCTGAGGGTACAGGGTTTTCTGAGGGCTGAGGCCCTGCAGCAGGCAGAAGCCAGTCCCAAGTGCTGCGATGTGATGAACTTCCATCGCCTCATGGATGATCTTGCACTGACCAGGACCCTGGGGAAAGGGCTGGAATGAACATTCAGTAAGGAAAGCAAATGCCTCAGGGGTGTGTGTGTGTGTGTGCTCCTGCCTGGCTTGGGATCAGGAGCCCATCCTGATGGCTCCTCTCCCATCAGGAGCCTCTATGGGCTCCTCCAAGCTGATGGGCTTGGAACCTGAGCACTGATCTTTTTTCCCTCCTGCCTTCCCACCCTGGTGGGACTTGCCCAAGACCTGCAGTTGCCTGCTTGGCATTCAGCTGTGGTGCTGGCTGCTGCTCTGTCTGCACTGTGCGGGCACCTGAGAGCTGCTGGCTCAGGAGTGCAGTATTGAGAGTTTCCTGTTTTCAACCAGCTTAACCAAAGACATGACTGGGAAGGATGACAACTACCGAGGCCCGGCTGTGAGAGCGCTCTGTCAAATCACTGATGTAAGTGCTGCTTGTCCCTTGGGGCAGCCCTAGGCCCTTCACCTTTCCCTATTTCACCCCATCCCACCTTCCACTCTGCTTTTTATGTCTTTGCATCTCCCCTTTCACACTCTTAATGGCTTTTCTGTATCAGCTGTTGTTTCCCTCTCCCTGCAGAGTACCATGCTGCAGGCCATCGAGCGCTACATGAAGCAGGCGATTGTTGACAAAGTGCCAAGTGTATCCAGCTCTGCTCTGGTCTCCTCCTTGGTATGTACTCCCTGCAGGGCAGGCCTGAGGGACAGGCAAGCTGGGAAGCTGTCATCTGTGGTGGGACTGGACATTTTGGGAGTTTTGGGGTTTCATTGTTGCTATTCCCCTCCTTGTGAACTGAGGGACTGGTGCTGACTTTGGGGGGTATCGTTGGTCTCTTGAGGCCACGGCTGTCACTGCCAGGTCTCTGCATGCTGATCCCTTGCTCTTCTATAAGCTGCTGCTGCCAGCACTCTCGTGGGGAAAGGTTGTTGCTTCTTAATATGAGCTGTGATTCCCAAAGCTTCTTCCATCCTTCTCTCACGGGTTGTCTGTGGCTTTGTCTCCCCCCAGCACCTGCTGAAGACCAGTTATGATGTGGTAAAGCGCTGGGTGAACGAGGCTCAGGAGGCAGCTTCCAGTGACAATATCATGGTGCAGGTAGGAAACTCGCTGACAACATAGGGGGCAAGCAGCAGCTGGGAGTGGGGCAGATTTCTAGAGCTCAGCCAGGCAGCTCTGGGCAGCAGAGGGGATAAAAGTGTAAAGAACACACTGTGGGTTTGTGACCATCTCTTTTCCTGCACAGTATCATGCTCTGGGCTTGCTCTACCACGTGCGGAAGAATGACCGCCTGGCAGTCAACAAGATGCTCAGCAAGTTCACACGCCACGGCCTGAAGTCACCGTTTGCTTACTGCATGATGATTCGGGTAGCCAGCAAGCTGCTGGAGGAAGAGGCTGGCAGGTGAGGGGCTCCTTTGCCCTGCTGGAAGAATTTCCTCAGGTTCTGCTTCCATCTCCTCTTGCAGGCTCACTTGCCATCTCATGAGGACAATTATTTCTGTCTTTGAAGACCAGCATGTAGCTCCAGTATAGGTTGGGAAATGATCTACTA